GGAAAATTTCATGAAGAAAATTGCATACAACAAGCAAAAGATTAGCGGCTGAAAGTTCCATCAGGAGTTAAATCATCAAATGTACATATAACTACTTCCAAAATTTTAACTTATTGCTTTTAAAATTTATTGCTGTAAAATGCAAGAAAGAAAATCCAACACGATAGTTTATTCTCTTAATTTCAAATTAAATTTTCAACAATTCTCGAAATCGCGAAGACCATAAATTTTTTTTTAATTTGTCTCGCATTCGTCCTTTTAATGACAAATCATTTAATTTTACCACTCCCACAATGCAATGCAAATATGAGCAAGAAGAAAAATCTTTTCAAATGAAAGACTTCAACAAATTTTTTTAAAATAAAATATTATAAAACGTTTATTTTGAAAAAAGGAAAAACAAAAAAATATAATCTTTTCTTAAAAAATAGTTGTCATATTATGAATAATAAATTGAAAACTATTCCAATTGCTAATTTTACCGTTTCCTGACCAAATATCAATTACCAAAGTATTTCCAAAGTTTAAACAAAATATTGAAAAGTGGACTGTGCTATAAAGTTACATATTTTCAAAATAAATAAACAGTTATTTGAAATAATGGAACATTCGAATGCTAGTTCAATTCATGTTCACAAAAATGCTGTACACAAATACGGTAATATTTTTGTAACAATATAATCCCTATGAAAATACATATGCAAATACATGGTGTAATTTCATATTTTTTTGCATAAATTTATTTTGCAAAAATCGGTATGAATACAATAACTGCACATTTTCAATACAAATAAGTTTCTGTATGATTCGATAACTTTGACATACTTTGGTATATATTAACTGAGGGGAAATTTTAAATAGAAATTAAATTCATCAAAAAGAATTGAATTTCATGCATCATTCTGAATAAATTGGCAAAATAAAGGATCCGGTAAATTATCTAAAGTAGGCGGATAGTAATGAAGAAATTGAATTTCATAATTTCTTCACTGTCATAATATTGATATAATTATGCATAATTTGAAACATAAATTGAAAGATTCAATTTAAAATTTGAAATCGAAAAATTTTTTTAATTCTTGCACTGAAATTCACTCAAACAAATGAAAATAATGTAGACAAAATGAAGCAGTGATGATTTTTCTTAAAAGCTTTTGACAAATATTTGCCTATTCGTTGTCGACCAAAGCCTACAATATTTGCAAGCTTAAATTTCAAATTATTTCGCCTCACACAAAAGATTATTTTTTGGATATCAGTAACTGGGCTAATTATCGGTATCTAAACGAAGAGCAAAAATGTACATTTTAGATTCATAACCACAATTATTGCCAATTCATTGGATAAAAACCTGAAAATCTGCCGATTGATATTTCGTGAGACTTCACTAGCACCTGAATCTCTTGGTTGATTTACTGTTTTCTACAGTTTCAGATAATCGCATGAAATGCAAATAATTAATAATTCGTGATATTTCATTCCAGAAAGACATACTTTCCCGATACAACTTTCTACCCTTTTTTTCGATATTCACTTAACAAAAAGCAAATTTCTTCGATTAACTGATCAAAAAAACGAAGGAAAAATTGAGAACTGGTTGAAACTGTTGGAATCCAGCCTTTCTAACGTAGGTTTCTAACAAAGATAAGATAATTTTGTCAAAATTACAACCAAAAACGACGAAATTTATCATTAAAATTAATAAGAGTAGTAGGGAATAAGAAAAAATATCGACTTATTAAGAAAATATGTTTGTAAGAAAATTAATTTTTATTTTTTTATATGTTTGTAAGAAAATTTAATTTTTATTTTTTTGTAAGAAAATTAATTTTTATTTTTTTTGAAATGTTAATTTTTTGTTAATACAATTCTTTTTTCTGTTAATACAATTTTTTTGTAAATTCTAAAATTTATGAGAAATGTTAACACTTTTATTTTCTTTATAATTAAACTATAAAATAAACAAAGTTCAAATCTTAATGGTTTATGAAACAACAAGAAATTGCAACAATTCTACAAAAAATTATATTAGCAAAAATCAACATTAAAATACAAATAAAATAAAGAAGAAAAAAAGATTTCCATAATATTTTTTCGATAAGTTTTAGCATTAAACTTTAAACAGAATTATTTTGTGATTATAAAACTGAAGAGAAAAGAATTTTCTTTTCGCAACTCAAAAAAAAAATACTTCGACTTAGTTTAAATAAATTTTTTCTCATTGATATACTATAGTTAAAAAAAGGAAAGAACAAGAAAAAAAAAGCAAAACAAATAATTTACTGAAAAATCGTTTTATGTTCCACTAAAACGATACCAATTGTAAACAATTAAACATATATTTGATTATTGACAAAGTGAGCATTTCTTTTTTCATTTTCAAAAGACATGGAAGAATAAAATAAACAGGTGACAAAATATCAGCAACAATAAAGTCAAACATTTTCGAGGAAGTCAAAAAGAAAATTTTCAAATTCAAATATGACTGATAAGATGGAAAAGATATTAGTCTTTGTTACTCTTGGCATAATTGCACAATAATGATTAAATAAGGATATTCACAACTAGTATATTAATTAGGTATGTAGTACTTAGTTCTTAGGTGAAATACTTTAGATAAAAATTGGTGGACAAAAATCATTTTCGTTTTTCATTTATTAGTTTATGTTATTTAATAATATTCATTAATGAAAATATAATGAATTCCTTCAGGTCCAAAATCTCATGGAAACAGAATACTATCTGAATAATTATAAAACATGCACTGTTTGAAGAGGCTTTAGTATAGAAGCCTTAAAATGAAAATCTTCAAATTTGTTGCTGGCCAGATGAAAATCAAGATATTGCTGTTCCTTTTGGAGGTATCTTCCGTTAGTTATGCTTATGCTAAGAGATAATTATAAAAATAGTTTGAATAAAGGAAGCAATAGTTGGGTAAAATTGAACCACCGAACTTGTAAAATTAGTGAAAAAAGATTTAAAAACTTCCATAGAATTCCATTCAACATTCTCAATAAATTACAAAATTTCCAGCAATAGCTTGTGTTTATCAACTTTGCATATGTTATGATATTGCAAAAGTTTTATTACAGAGTTTGAATCTAAAATCGGTGCTATCTAAAAATCCAATCCATAATAACCTGATAATTTCCGAACGTAAATCCGTTTAATCATATATTTCTTAACTAATTAATTATCCATTTTAATAAAGTTATCTATTTTAACCAGTTTATCGATTAAATCATCATTGCACATCGTAAAAGTGGATTCTTTGAATTGTGTACTCTAATAATTAATTATCTTAACAAAATAAAACTTTTACACCCATCATAACAAATAAACCGGTCAAGACTCTTGTTATGCATTTTAATAAATTATCGGTTAAGCTATCGTCTTAAATTTTACTGTCATCGAAATTTTTTCCTTACCTTTGTGGAATGTCCTTTTTTATTTTAGCACGATTTTTTTTCCTTATGCTTTTTTCCTTAAAAAAATAAATTGAAAAGGAAAAAATGAATCAAAACTTGCAAAATTAAACAAACAAGTTCTCCGGAGGACAAATAAAGAGATGCTAAACAAAGAACTTTCTTTTCCAAACGGAATGAATTGCTTCTTTGGTTAATTTGACATACCATCAGAAAATATGGTACAAAACAAGGGAAAAAACAAAACATTTCGTTTTTTTTCCCCCTTTTAATTAAATAAGCAAAATATTTATTAAAAAAGAAAGAAATTCCTCTTCCCTTTTTTTAGCAATTTTGGTAAAAGGAAGCATACAAAAGAAGAAGAAAATGATAAAGTAAAAGATAACAGAAATTTTCTTGCGCAAAGGTTGAAAAAACTGATGTCCTCCTTACCTGTTTTGTTGAAAATGTTCAATTATTAATTGTTAAAGATGAAGTTAAAGATTAATTGTTAAAGATGAATTAGATAAAAGATGAAGTGACCTGTTTTTTGATGAAATTAATAACTGAAATTTAAGCCGTTGCATTATCTTGTGGATATCAAGAAGTTGAATATAACATACATCAGAAACTACCGCACATTTCCTGATTACAATCGAACATCACTAAAATGCGGCTAGCATCAGACGTTAGATGGAAATATAGTTAACTAACTACGCGATGATCCCTCAACAATATAAGGTCAAACTTTACAAGATACCGAATAGCTCTGATAATATCTTTGGCGGGTCAGGACATACAGGTCAACACCTTAACCTAAATCGCTGTCAATAAGGAGTTAGTAGCTCCGACAGCGTACTCACTTTTCAGCATTAAAACTTAAAGAAACCTCGAAGTTTTCGGCAAATTTATCATTAAGAATTTGATTTGGAAAACCTCGAGATAAAAGAAAAAGGAACACTATGTGACAGGCAAAAAATTACATTTTACATGAGTTAATGACTGTGAAAAACAAATGAGGAAAAAAAGATTTAATATTTTCCTTCTAATTTCGTTTCAACGAAAATATAGAAAATGACCCGAGATTTAAATGAAATCATAAACATAATAAACATCGTTAGACACGTAAAAACATGAAGGGAAATAACTGGGAAAATGTTAGAACCGGAATATTTTCAAAAAAAAAAGAACAATACTGAGAATTTAACTCGTGAAATTAAGTAAAAATAATTAGTAGATATCTACAAAAATTCGCCAACATTCTCCTTTTAATTTTCACTCTGATATTGGAGGAAGTTAAGAGGCTTGTAACAATTCATAGGAAAAAGTCTTAATTGAACTTTCCTTCGCAATGGCAGTCTCTTCTGCTGAATACTTTCCGCCGAGCAATCAGCAGATGAAAAAATAACATTCTACTGCAACAGAACATATATAAGAGCACAATGAAATGCAAAATTATTCGCAGTACCTAAAACTGCATCATTCTTTTTATTAAACAATAGTTATTGCTGCCGAAAGTAGTATAAATTGTCCCTCTCTTTTGCATTTATTGAAAAGTTCGCGAATTTCAACAAATGGTAAAGTGAAAACAAAAATCAAAACATCTGTGCAGCGGTACGAAATCTAACTGTTTCCATAATATTTGAACGTAATAAGTAAAGAATCGTGTTATTCATATTTGTTTGTTTTTCTAACAAGTTTTAGAAAAGTAATAAAGTTGATAACATAATATGCTTTTGAAGGATAACAATTTAGAAACAAACTATATTATTTGCGTGTATTACAAAAAATATACAAAGCGGTAATCAAAACCTAATAGATTGTACAATTTGCTCTACACGGAATTGATTTCGATCCCCAATTGGATGAATCGTTTCTGAAAATGCTTGTTTGACAGCCGGAAGTAAAGCGATTCGATCATGATTGAGTTTTTTCGGAACATTAAATTTACATTCAGACAAATGGCTGCTTAAAACAGTCGGACTCGTATTCTTCCATTCATTAATTGGCTTTTGACATTTACTGAATTCCCACATCTGTAAAAGAAAAACTCCTTCAATCTGGTGTGGAACATCGACACTATTTTTCAGCTATTTTACTGAGTGTCATGTATAAAATAGAGATTAGCACCTCAAATTACTTCCTAACCAAAACATAGTTAGGACAATATGATTAGATAAATAAATTAAGAAGGAAGATAAACGAAAAACCGAACAAGTGAAGCATTTGCCTGATTTCAAACTGCAACCTTGATAAACTATGCAAAATCCACTACTCTTTTCTAATCACTAGAAATTAATAAATTCTACAGCGTCTTATGAATGTTTCATGGAAAAAATATTAAAAAAAAATAATTGTACACAAAAATTCCTCCAACTGATGTTCCCAGCTTGTTTGTTCATCAGCTTTATTCATGTTTGGGAGAAAGACACATGTGCTTGACAAAGTGATGATTTTATATAAAATTGTACTTTGACAAGGATATTTAAAAAAAGCTGTGGTAAAATTGATTTTCTAAAATAGTCAGATTTAACGAGCCTCATGCGATTCAAAGTTAAAATAACTTACAAAACATTTTTCTGACCAACTTCCGTTTTCAGCTCGTTCCCATTTGATGTGTACCATTGCGGAATCAGAAGCCACTTTGAAACACATCAGTCGCATGTGTTTACATGTTGATGATAAACAACGCAATGATGCACTATCCAAATATTGCAAAATTTCAATCAGCATTATTGGTGGCAAGTCGTACAATGGTGAGCCATCAGATGGTAAAATTGATGGTTCGGGTGGACGATGCACGACACAATTCAGATAGCGATTATACCTTTAAAAAGACAAAATAATTTTTAGAAAGCATCAAATAAAAGGAGGGAGTTAAGTAGACTTTCTTATACAATAACATGTACATGTTTAACCCTGAAACATAGAACTAAAAAAACTAGCGAAAATCAAAAAGTGCTCATAAACATTACTACCTCATTATGATCGTAAACACTACCCTTATTAATGCCTCTAACAGTAGCTTTCTCC